AGGGTGTGGGTGTTGTGGGAGTCATCCTTCAGGCCTCGTGGTGGCACGTTTATATACTCCGGCGACCATCGACTGGCACTGGTTCTGCTTCTGGTTCTGGTTCTGGTCAGGCACTGGGCCGTGTGAATGACATGATGTCCGAAACCCACGCATTTCTTTATTTTTAAAGCCATCCTGTGCGGTTTATTTCAAGTCACTGGCACGCACGCAACTCCCAAAACATAACCCATGGGGGTGGGGAGCTGGCCCCTGGGTTACACCTTCTGGGATGGGGGTTTATGGGAAAGTCCCTCGACTGACAGCTGCGGTTTAGTTTTTACTTTCAAGTTTTTATTTTAAATGGGGGAATTTTATCGAAAAATAGTCTATGATACCTGGTACTTTTCTACTCATGCTACTAAAAAGCATGCTTTTTCTTATTTTGTGCTTACAATCATCACTTTTTTATGGAATATTCTGCTTTTAATTATCAAAGTATATAGGAAGTACTCAAAACTATGTATTATTACCAGGTTCTGAAGTTATAAAACTTTTAAAAATCTTGCTTGATGGAAAAAGCATGATTTTTGAAGTGTTGTGTTTACTTTTATGCTTTTAAGTTGGTTTTTTTTAAAGAAGACTTGCTTATTATGATTTAAATTAAGAAAAATATAAAAGAAATGTTTAAAAATAAACATAACTACCAGGCTCTAATGTTAAAAGACTTTTAAGAACCTTGCTTAATCAAAAAAGCATGCTTTTTCTTTGTTCGTGCTTACTTTCATGCTTTTTAGTTTGTTTTTTGTTTAAAAAATCTTGAACATTATCTTTCTAATAATAAAAGTGTTTAAAAAATAGGAAAAATATATAAAATTATTATTAAAGCCTTAATTATAAAATATTTCTCCAAAATCATGCTTTTTTGAAAAAGCATGCTTTTTAATTTCAAACATTTCAACTTCTTCAAGTGACCTAAGCCATCCACCTACTCTCTATCTACCTCTATAACCCCCTCTATCGTCCTTCTAGCTATCCCTAACTAAAATCCCCTCGTTTGTCTGTCAATGAAGTACAGTAGAACCCCTTCATTCCACCCACCGAGTGTTCACTGTGCTATTATGTGCTTTATGCACTGGCAGCATATGGAATGACCACAGCAGAAGGCCTTCTGCCAAGACTTTGGTGTCAATGTGTGTGTGTGTGTGTTTTGGCCAGAATATGATAGAGTGGGGAGGATTGTGCATGGAGGCGTGGCAGGGGCGGGAGAAGAAGAAGAGGCAGAAGCAGAAACAGAAGCGGAGGCCTTTGGGGTTTCGGTTTTCAGTTTGACTTGACATGCATCAGCATCATTATTTTGTGCTTTTAATGTTTTATTTAGCCTGGTTGCCGACAGCAATATACGCAGGGGGTGAGGCGGGCCAAAATGGGCGGCAAATGGGGGGTGTGGCCCAACATGTGTGTGTGTGTGTTTGTGGGCGGGGTTTTGGTGTTGTCTGACCGCCTACGTGCCGTTTGCACTCGTTCTTTTTTTTCCCAAGCCTGGAAAAGCCTTTTTTTTCCATTCCTCTCTTATTTTTTTTTTTCACCCAAACACCCACTCCATCGGTAAGTGTGTGTGTGATGTGTGTGTGTACTGGTGTGTATGTGTTTGTGCGCCATTTGCAACGAAGCACTCAAACAACATTTAAAAAGGCCTCATTTTCATGAGCTGTTGTGTGTGCCAGGATGACGATGTGCGAGGATGAAGGATGAAAGCCTGAAAGGATGTAAGGATGTACGGATGAAGGGGCCAGGCGAGGTAAACAGAGTAAGAGAGAGAGAGAGAGAGAGAGAGTATATGCCACTCGGCACATAATTGTTTGAAACAAATGTAGTGCACCCACACACACACACACACACACATATCCTTGCAAACACACACACATATCCTTGCCGAGTTAAACTCACACAGACATGCGGGATATTTTATTAGGCCATTCAGTTAGTCAGTCATTTAGTCAGTCAATCAAACTGGGCAGGCAATTAAAGTTTCACTGCCCATTGTCGGAAGCCCAAAGGCAGCAACAACAACAACAACAACAATCAGGACGACCAGGACCACCAGGACAACAACCACAACAACAACAAGAGAAAGAAAAGTAGGGGAAATAAACACATCAAATGGCCTGGCAAACAAGAACAGGATTCGGTTTTAGTCCTGGCTTCCCTTTAGTCCTCCCCCCCTTACAAAAAAAAAGGCTTCACTCACTCACTTCCTTTTCAGTTTTCCAGTTTTTGCACAAAAAGAGCCTGGTTATCCTTTCAGATAAAATGAAATTCCCCAGAATTCCCCCAAATGAGAACTTGATTAATATTAAATTGAACGGCAAAGCAGCCGGAATTTCAAATCACAAGCTGCCAACTGGAGTGGTTAGTGGTCACTAAAACGAATAGGTTATGTAACCCATCCTTTTTTCCCAAGGACCCACTTCCGGTTAAGCGGTTAACTAGGGATAGAATCGTTTAAAGCACTTTGCATCGAAATCCGATGGAAATTGGAACAGATAGGGTCTCATTTGAGGTCAGAAATAGGCTTCCGACAGAAAAATTAGAAAAAATATTAAAAAATAATTTTGTTGTCAGATTTTGATGCAGATTTGTGGCAAATCGATATACAAATCGATTAAGGTACTCCGCTTGAGAATCGGATGAGAATTAGCAAAGATATAGCCATCGGTAGGGGTCATATGGGGAAATCCAGGATTCTGCAGGGGTCTCCCCTCAAAAATTGGAAAAAAATTTGAAAAATATTTTGTTGTCAGATTTTGATGCAGCTTTGTGGCAAATCGATATACAAATCGATTAAGGTGCTCCGCTTGAGAATCGGATAAGAATTGGCAAAGTTACAGCCATCGGTAGGGGTCACATGGGGAAATCCAGGATTCTGCAGGGGTCTCCCCTCAAAAATTGGAAAAAAATTTGAAAAATATTTTGTTGTCAGATTTTGATGCAGATTTGTGGCAAATCGATATACAAATCGATTAAGGTACTCCGCTTGAGAATCGGATGAGAATTAGCAAAGATATAGCCATCGGTAGGGGTCATATGGGGAAATCCAGGATTCTGCAGGGGTCTCCCCTCAAAAATTGGAAAAAAATTTGAAAAATATTTTGTTGTCAGATTTTGATGCAGATTTGTGGCAAATCGATATACAAATCGATTAAGGTACTCCGCTTGAGAATCGGATGAGAATTAGCAAAGATATAGCCATCGGTAGGGGTCATATGGGGAAATCCAGGATTTCCAAGGGGTCTCCCCACACAAATTGGAAAAAAATCTGAAAAATATTTTGTTGTCAGATTTTGATGCAGATTTGTGGCAAATCGATATACAAATCGATTAAGGTACTCCGCTTGAGAATCGGATAAGAATTGGCAAAGTTACAGCCATCGGTAGGGGTCACATGGGGAAATCCAGGATTCTGCAGGGGTCTCCCCTCAAAAATTGGAAAAAAATTTGAAAAATATTTTGTTGTCAGATTTTGATGCAGATTTGTGGCAAATCGATATACAAATCGATTAAGGTACTCCGCTTGAGAATCGGATGAGAATTAGCAAAGATATAGCCATCGGTAGGGGTCATATGGGGAAATCCAGGATTCTGCAGGGGTCTCCCCACAAAAAAGGGGAAAAAAATCTGAAAAATATTTTGTTGTCAGATTTTGATGCAGCTTTGTGGCAAATCGATATACAAATCGATTAAGGTGCTCCGCTTGAGAATCGGATAAGAATTGGCAAAGTTATAGCCATCGGTAGGGGTCATATGGGGAAATCCAGGATTTCCAAGGGGTCTCCCCACAAAAATTGGAAAAAAATCTGAAAAATATTTTGTTGTCAGATTTTGATGCAGATTTGTGGCAAATCGATATACAAATCGATTAAGGTACTCCGCTTGAGAATCGGATGAGAATTAGCAAAGATATAGCCATCGGTAGGGGTCATATGGGGAAATCCAGGATTCTGCAGGGGTCTCCCCTCAAAAATTGGAAAAAAATTTGAAAAATATTTTGTTGTCAGATTTTGATGCAGATTTGTGGCAAATCGATATACAAATCGATTAAGACACTCCGCTTGAGAATCGGATAAGAATTGGCAAAGTTATAGCCATCGGTAGGGGTCATATGGGGAAATCCAGGATTTCCAAGGGGTCTCCCCACAAAAATTGGAAAAAAATCTGAAAAATATTTTGTTGTCAGATTTTGATGCAGATTTGTGGCAAATCGATATACAAATCGATTAAGGTACTCCGCTTGAGAATCGGATAAGAATTGGCAAAGTTACAGCCATCGGTAGGGGTCACATGGGGAAATCCAGGATTCTGCAGGGGTCTCCCCACAAAAATGGGAAAAAAATCTGAAAAATATTTTGTTGTCAGATTTTGATGCAGATTTGTGGCAAATCGATATACAAATCGATTAAGGTACTCCGCTTGAGAATCGGATAAGAATTGGCAAAGTTACAGCCATCGGTAGGGGTCACATGGGGAAATCCAGGATTCTGCAGGGGTCTCCCCACAAAAATGGGAAAAAAATCTGAAAAATATTTTGTTGTCAGATTTTGATGCAGATTTGTGGCAAATCGATTAAGGTACTCCGCTTGAAAATCGGACAAGAATTGGCAAAGATATAGCCACCGGTAGAGGTCATATGGGGAAATCCAGGATTTCCAAGGATATTTTCATGTATTGATGAAAATCCAGCATTTTCCAGAGGGTTCCGGGCTAAAATGGGTTTAATTTGCCGAAATTCAAAATAAAAATAATTAAATTAATTAATTAAAAAATAGCGCCCTCCTCCTCGATTCTCAAAGGTTGCACTTAAGCTGGCCGGAAATCTCGGATTAAAAATATTTTTTTTTTTTATTTTTATACCCTTGCAGAGGGTATTATTTTTTTTTTGAAAGTGTTGTTCCAAGTGATTTTTGTTCTTTTTCCTCTAAGTCTTAACTAATACCTGGCCTATTCTTATAACCCGTATCTTTCAGGCCTATCCGACCCGCGATATAACCAACATTGTGGAATCATCTCACTACCAGAAGATCGGAGGCTGGTGCCGTCAGGGCGCCTTAAACGCGGCCAAGTGCAAGGGCTCCCACCGCTGGATCAAGCCGTTCCGCTGTCTCGGTGAGTTAAGCAATGACCGCAAGGATCGAGGATCCTTTTGGCGGCTACCAACTGATCCGTTATCCTTTCATTCCACACTGCCTGCACTCCACACACCCTGCTAACCTTCCCGGCGACGTTTGGCTTCAGAAGGACCATTCCAGTCGGACGCCCTGCTGGTGCCGGAGGGCTGCCTCTTCGATCATATCCACAATGCCTCCAGGTGCTGGCCGTTTGTGAGGTGGAACCAGACCGGAGCGGCTGCCTGCCAGGAGCGCGGCATGCAGATGCGCAGCTTCGCCATGCTCCTGCCCTGCGGCATCTCCGTCTTCTCCGGCGTTGAGTTCGTCTGCTGTCCCAAGCACTTCAAGAGTGAGTTCGGGATTCTTTCGAAAAAATAGTTTCCATTTTAATGGAATCCTTGTGTGTGTCCATAGCCGATGAGATCCATGTGAAAAAGACCGATTTGCCCGTAATGCCCCCGGCCCAGATCACCAGTGCCAACGATGACTTGATGGTCAACGACGAGGACGAGAGCAACGAGTCCAACTACTCGAAGGACGGCAATGACGACGACCTGGACGACGAGGACGATCTGATGGGCGATGACGAGGAGGACGAGATGGTGGCCGACGAGGCGGCTGCGGGTGGCGGCAGTGCCGGTGGTAATGCCGGATCCTCCGGAGACGCCAACAGTGGATCCCTGGACGACATCAATGCGGAATACGACAGCGGCGAGGAGGGTGACAACTACGAGGAGGATGGCGCTGGATCCGAGGGCGAATCCGATGGTGGCGATACCTGGGACCAGAGCGGTGCTGGCGCCAAGCCGGTGGCCAATCTGAAGGTTAGCGGTGGCTCCTCCACGGCCGACAAGGTGCCCCTCAAGTCCGATACCCCAGTTACCTCAACTCCGCAGCTGTCGGTGGCCGCTGCTGCGGCTGCCAATGCTGGATCTGGATCCGGTTCCGCCGGACTGCCGCCGTCCACCGCCCAGCCGACATCCGATCCGTACTTCACCCACTTCGATCCCCACTACGAGCACCAGAGCTACAAAGTAAGTCAGAAAGTAAGTGTTTACGTTGAGGGCGCAGGTTTATTTATCGATGCAACACAAAACGTATTCTAAACAAAGGAAGCCCAACAGCGCCTCGAGGAGTCGCACCGCGAGAAGGTCACGCGCGTGATGAAGGACTGGTCGGATCTGGAGGAGAAGTATCAGGATATGCGTCTCGCCGATCCCAAGGCGGCTCAATCGTTCAAGCAGCGGATGACGGCCCGCTTCCAGGTCAGTTGTCCGTGTGAAGCACTCATTACCTCACGCTCACTCTAACTCTGAATCTCTGAATATCACTCACTATCACTATCACTATCACTCTCACTCTCACTCTAACGGGAAGAAAGAGAAAGAGAGTGGCCCAAAACATGTCTGTACTTGTTCTTAAGGCTTTTACACGAGAAGATTTGATAAAATGAAGTCTTCCAGGGTAATTCCTAAGAAGAGTCCTGACTCTTTGGGCTACACTTTCTCTCCAAAACCCACTACTCCCATTGCATTGCTCTCTGTCTCTTCTCATCTCCTATCTCACTCACTGGCACCTGACCCCAAACTGCCTGACCTCCTCTATATCTCACTATATATCCTCCTCTATGCTATGCAATCGCTATAACTCTGCATCTGTATGTGTGTGTATGTCTGCGTCTGTATTCGGGAGTTTCATTCCTAAAGGACAAGAATGTCCTCTAATTAATCGATTAATATCGATAAAGCAAATGAAGCTCCCTTCGATCATGACTTGTTACCAAAACTATATCACTAGCATCTATATAAAAAACCATATCACACTCTTAAGTTTTCTTTTTATTTTGTTTCTTAACCAACTTTCATGCACCTCTTTACAACCTCTGTAATCGTAATCGTTATCGTAATCTGTAAATTGTAAACTGTAGCTCATTGTATCGTCTTTTTATCGACATTAAGTTGTGCTCATTGTTATCGCCTGCTTTTCAGTTATCGCTCTCTGGCGACCATGCCCGAGATCTATAATTCCGATAGACGATAGCGGAGTTATGGGTTTCGCGGTTATCGCCGAATGCGATGAGTTATGATTTATGTTTTGTGTATCCATATGTATGGCAAATGGGAGCGAAAGAGGCATCAGATTGTAATCATAACAGCAATTAACAATAACAATAACAGTAAAGATAATATGCTACTCGTAATTTAACCAATTAACGAAGTACAACCAACAGCAACTAAATCAACTATAGATACCAGTTCTTAACCCATATTACTAACTAACATCCAAAGTGCTTTGTAGTTGAACTGATTGGCTTTTGAACTTGATATAATTACCCTACATACATACATATATGACCCTTCAACACCTCACACACCACAGTCCCCCCACCACTGGATCCTAGCTTTATAGATCTCTTTGGTTTATCCTAATTTTTTTTTGATTCCCCAGAGAACTAAAGTTTTGAAAGTCTGTAAATGCTGCTTAAGTAACCGCGCTTTTCATGGAATGATAACGCATCCCATGTATATATCCTCCCCACCCCCACTCCCCCCAAAAAAGGTCCTTAAGATTCGATCCTAAACAGAATCATTTAGAATCCAAACTTTGCACCGCATCAGTGCACCCTAGCACTATGTCTCTCTCTCTCTCTCTGTGTCTATATCGCTAGCTCGCTCCATATCGCTCCCATATCATGGAAGCACAAGCGGCATCTGTAGCGGCACTTATCGATACCCATTTCTCCCTTCCTTCAAAGAAACTATCCCATCCAGATATACACTATATCCACCACCTCCAAACATTTCAACCACAAACCACATTTCACGAGGAAATTCTTTTTTTTCAAAAAAAGAAACTTTAAAAAAAATTAATAATAATAATGAAAAATACAAAATAGAAATCGATACCGATACCGATCGACAGTTGCATATTGTTATCGATCAACGATCAAATTCCCCATGCTGATAATCTTTCTCTCTTGGTGTGCAATACGTCTTTATATGGGAATGTAATTTTAGACTTCTGTTCAGGCACTCGAGGAGGAAGGCAACGCCGAGAAGCATCAGCTGGCCGCCATGCATCAGCAGCGTGTCCTGGCCCACATCAATCAACGGAAACGGGAGGCCATGACCTGCTACACTCAGGCTTTGACCGAACAGCCACCGAATGTGAGTATCGAGTATCGATAGTTTCTAGAGATGAGACTTTTTCTTAAATTATTTTTGAGGTTATAATACTCATTTTTTTGATATCCTCCCAGGCTCATCATGTTGAAAAGTGCTTGCAGAAGCTTCTCCGTGCTTTGCACAAGGATCGTGCCCATGCTTTGGCTCACTACCGCCACCTGTTGAACTCCGGAGGACCCGGTGGCTTGGAGGCCGCCGCCTCAGAGCGTCCCAGGACCCTGGAGCGTTTAATCGATATCGATCGTGCGGTGAACCAATCGATGACCATGCTGAAGCGTTATCCTGAACTATCGGCCAAGATCGCCCAATTGATGAACGACTATATCCTGGCATTGCGCAGCAAGGACGATATTCCCGGCTCGTCGTTGGGCATGAGCGAGGAGGCGGAGGCTGGCATTCTGGACAAGTACCGTGTGGAGATCGAGCGCAAGGTGGCCGAGAAGGAGCGCCTCCGACTGGCCGAGAAACAGCGCAAGGAGCAGCGGGCTGCCGAGCGGGAGAAGCTGCGCGAAGAGAAGCTTCGCATGGAGGCCAAGAAGGTGGACGATATGCTCAAGTCGCAGGCGGCCGAGCAACAGCAGCAGCAGTCCCAGGCCCCGTCACAGACCCCAGCCTCCTCCGCCGCCTCCATTCAGTCCTCGTCCCAGTCGCAGCAGGAGAAGAGCCTCAGCAGCAAGGAGGTGGGCCTCGACGGCGGAGTCGTCACTGCGGCTAACTTGAATCTGGAGACCACCAAGAGCGAGAAGGAGCTCTCGGACACTGAATACGCCGAGGCTACTGTAAGGTAAGGTGTAATCCCATAGATTCCATTTCCAATTCTAGAAAGGATTTGATCTATATATCCATGTTGTCCTTGCAGCAGCACCAAGGTGCAGACCGTACTGCCGACGGTCGATGATGATGCCGTCCAACGGGCGGTGGAGGATGTGGCAGCCGCCGTCGCTCATCAGGAGGCCGAGCCGCAGGTGCAGCACTTCATGACCCATGACCTGGGCCATCGCGAATCGGTATTTGAGATGCGGCGCCTTCTCGTACCGCACTTGCCTAAAGCCTATCCCCTTTCTCTCTCTTTCTCTCCCGTTTCGTTGCAGAGCTTCTCGCTGCGCCGCGAATTCTCTCACAATGCGCACGCGCCCAAGGAGGGACGCAATGTCTACTTTACGCTCTCCTTTGCCGGCATCGCCCTAATGGCGGCTGTATTTGTGGGCGTGGCTGTTGCCAAGTGGCGGACATCCCGTTCGCCGCATGCCCAGGGCTTCATTGAGGTGGATCAGGTGAGTAAAGCTTCAAATATCGATAGCTAGACGATAGTCGATACATCTATCGATAGCCAGTGTTGTAAAAGGTTATATGTCTAAATATTAATATTGTTTCCCTTTCTAGAACGTGACCACACACCATCCCATCGTGCAGGAGGAGAAGATCGTGCCCAATATGCAGATCAATGGGTACGAGAATCCGACCTACAAATATTTCGAAGTGAAAGAGTAAGCTAGACGGCTGCTAAACGGCTAGAAGGGGACGGAGAACAGCATACAGCATAGTCGTCACAAGCGAAAAAGCATCAGCAAAGCAAAAAGCATTGGGGCATTGAGGAGGATGGAACACAACACAATTTCAAAATGAAAAAAACAATTTAAGCATAATATTTAAAACAAAAAAAAAACAAAACAAAAGCAGAAGAAGTGGTAGAGAAACCGATTTTTTTTTTCGTCACAAGGAGCGCAGTTCCAATAAGAGATAAAGAGATAAAAGTAAAGATAATATGATGAAGAAGCTTAAGGCAAAGGGGTAGAAGCAGATGCAAAAAAGAAAAGTCAAGAAGCAGACAGAAAAAGAAGAAGAATAAGAAGGAAGAAGAAGGATAAATTCAATGAAAGGTAATATATCTATATTAAATTAAAGAAAAAACAAAAGAAAAAGCAAGCAAGCAGAAAAGGCAAGAATATAAAGCAAGCAATTAAATTTAAGTATTTGAATGTTTAACAAAATGCAGTAAAATAAAAAAAAAACATCCTCTTTAGCTCCCTTTCTCTGTCTCTTTCCAATACTCTAGCACTCCATCTGTCTGTCTTTGTTGCACTCGGTGTATCCATTGTCCTTTTAGTACACATTTTCCAACACTAAAAGCCACAGAGGCAGGCAATAACATGATGATTCGTGTAATGGCTCACAAGGATAACAAGGATCACGCTACGAGAAGGCAAAGAAGAAAGTTTGGGCGTAAAGAGGAAAAGGAAACTAAAGAAGAAAGGGAGCAGAAGCAAAAGCAAAACAAAAAAGATATTCCTAGTAAATAAATTGTCAACAAAAAAAAAGGACACAGACACAGGACACTCATATACATTCTCACTCATAGCAACAAATACAAAGGCAAAAGAAGAAAGCAGCCCAAGACACACACACACACAGACACACGTACATATTGCATTCATGGCTGCTTAGTAGCATACTTTTCGGAGCGATCTTTCTTATCAGAAAGAGTAGGATGAGAGTTAAGAGCTAAAAAGCCAAAAACAAACACACACACACACACACACTAGGACACTTGTGAACCTAAGAGCTACCTACGCGTACTAATCTCTATATAAACATGCATATATGCATATATGTATATGTATAACTCCCTCTTAAAAAAACACACACAAACACACATCACATTCACTCACATGGCTATATATACGGCAAGCAAAAAGCAACCAAAACACATACACAAACACACACACATATATATATATATATATATATATATACAATATATTTAAAGCAAAGCAAGAAGAAATGTCCATAAATGTATTTATGTATCTATACACAAGCAAAACACAACCCGAAGCAAGCCAGCAAGCTAAAAACTTAAGCATTTAAAAAGCATGCTTTTGCCGGCTATATTACAAGTAATATATATATATCACAAATATATATATATATATATGAATCAGCTACGTAAACCGAAAAAAAAACAAAAACAAAAATATAATGCAAAAAACGCTAAGCTAATTGCAAAAAAAACAAGTAAAGTAAAAAAGAAATGGGAAAAAAATGAGATGAGGAAACTTTTAGAACTTTTTCTGCATATTTTGTGTGTAAGTCGGATGGCAAAAAAAGTTTTTTTTTTCTCGTTTTTATGTTACATGTTTCACTCAAAGGCCAGCACAAAAAAAACACACACACACACTGACAAATCAACAAAAAATGGAGGGAGAGTCCTTGAGATAAACTTCCTTTCGCAATCAAACCCCTTTCGCAATCAAACCTTAGAGCCAAAATGCCGAACCAGATTCTGATAAGAATTTTGGATCGTACTGAAAAATAAATATATACATATATATAAATCGAAAAGAATTCCGGCACCAACTTAAGTGGAAGCCCCCCAAGATAAACCATTTCGAAAAGTCTAGTTTCATTTCTCGGTTTGATTGCTTGGCAAATATTTGGCCTGTTTTGTTCGAGCAGCAAGATACTGTTACTCAATCGGGCTAAATAATGCGAAAAATAGTATTGGCCCATCAAGTCGACTATCGTATGCTCTTTCATTTGAATTGTCATTCTGGAAACAGACTTCCAGGACTAGAAATCGAGTTGATATAACAATTTTTGTAATTCAAAATTTTAGATCGGAAATTGAGATTCTGAATGAGATTTAACTTGGCGAATAGAACAAAAGTTTGAAAACTGTCAAGAAACTGAAATGGAAATTGAAGCTGTTTTTTTAAATTGTTATTTAAATAAAACAAAAAATCAAAGTCTGATTTCAAAATTTCAACTAAAACCATAATGGCAACAAAAACTTTAAAGATTTCTTCTAAAAATCATATTATATAGAATTGAAAACATAAATGTATTTGTTTAAAAAACCAACTTTTTAATTGAAATTGTAGAACTAGAATTTGGAAAATTTCAGAACTTCAATTTCAAAAACAAAGTCAGTGTTTAAAACAAATACAATTTTTTTTATTTAATTTTTGAATATTATTTTTAGGAATAATTATGATTTTTTTGATGCCATTGCTGTTCTAGTTGAAGTTTTGGGTACAGAATTGATTTTTTGAAACGATTTTGAGCAGTTTCAATTTCAATTTCACAGTCTTGGCCTTGATTTCAAAATTCTAGAGTCTGTTTAATGGCAAATCAGAGTTTTGTTTTTGAAAACTTTTCTTGAAAATTCCTCTCAATAGACTCCCCGCCAACACACAGACACATTATATAATGCTAAATGTATTACAACAACAATATATATATGCATATATATGCATCTATTTATATATATATGCCAACACACACACACACACACAAACATACATATATATTTCAACAGAAACAGAAAAACAAAAAATGCAAATCAACTACACAAACAAAACGTAAATAAGAAGAAAAATCTAACTAGTCAAAGCTTGAATATTTTTTAATTTATTCATTAATACAACAAGAACAACAACAAAAAAAACCAAAAATGGAAAAGTATACATATATATATAAAAAACCAAGAGAAAAAAAATGAACAAAAAAACAATTGATATTTACACTTAGTGAAGCAAAAAAAAAAACAAAACCAAAAACAAAAAAAGCGGAAAGTAAAAGCAAACAAAAAAAAAATGAAAACCAAAAAAAAATGATGCAAATGTGTAAGAAATAAACCCCGTCCTGCATAAATAAAATTAAATAAAAGAATAAAATAAATATAAAACAAAAAACAAAAACGTAATGAATATCATAAAGCAAAAAAGATTTACACAAAAGATTAAAATTGCAAAACCAAAAAATGCAAAAAAAACAACCAAAATGGCGAGAAAACCAAACAATTGAGAATTATAAATGAAAATCGCATGTGTTTTTGTCGTAGTCTCATCATTGAAAAAAAAAAACCAAAGAAATGCAAAAAAACGAGAACAAAGAAAATTCAAAATACAAAATGAAAGAAATGTATGCAGAAATTAAGAGCAAGATATAACATTTGTGTAATTCTTTTTGTCAAACTATGATTTTTGCATAAAAAAACCAAAAACCAGAAAACGAGAAACGGAAATGATGGCCCGAGAGGAGGAACTCAGTTTGGAGAAACGTATATGAAAAAAATTTAAATATTAAATGTACTCAAAGACAATTGTAATTGCAACAATAATTGTACGCTATATATACCTATTATTAATGTGGAAAAGATTTCAGCATTCTCTGGCCATTGGTTACCGAACAAATATCATAATCGACGATCTACGATCCGCGATCCACGATCTACATATATCCGATTTGGCGATCTATATGATCTTTTGAATTTCCAACAGGATCTGCATACACCGATCTCTCTATGGATCATGTGGACAGAATGGAATCGCTACCCGTCCCCTACCCCCACAACCAGTTGCGGGCTCTCGGGCCAATGGCATCCAGGAAAATTGTAAAATGTTTCACACGAAAAACCCCCCCAAAAAAACATGAAAAGCCATTGATGGAAAACCAAGAAAAACAAACATAAAACATAAGAATGCAAAAAGGAAACAAAAACAACAACAACAACAAACAAAACAACCAAAACCAAAAAGCAAGAAAAAAAAAAAAGAAAACAATTTTCAATGTATAATCATATAATTTGATTTTGAATTTTTGTGTTCTTTTTCGAAATATTTTGCATAAATAAAATAAAATAACAGAAAAACAAAATTCGAATCTTTTATTACATTTAGGGATATGGTGTGGGGTTTGTTATCCTTTTTATCTGCTAATTATGCAAATTTTTCATTTCTGAGATTTGAATATTTTCCAATTGGCGCCTAACTATCGATTAGTAAAAGTTTCCCATCTCTAGTGTGACCTGCACCTGCGCTCTCCCACGCGATCTTGCGCATCCTTCATTCTCCCTTTTCGCGCCAATAAGATTTTACGTTCGACTCGTTTCGCTTTGTTTATTATTTTAAATTAGTTAATTATGTTGTTAAAAAGTGTTTAAAATATAGATTAACTTTAATACTTAATTAAAAGTGATCTACAGAAGGAGGCAACAAAGGAAATGCAGTTTCTATGGAAAGGCAAGTTGCCGGCGCCGGCGCCAAGCGTGTAAACAACAAAAAAACACAAGTTCTGTTGTTTTTGTTTTGTAAAACATCCTAAAACTTTAATAAATATCTTGATTATACTAGTGCTTAGTAGATTGAACTATTTTCATAATGTTTTCAAAGCTAATTAGTGAAAAACAGACACTTTTCGCGGAATCGGGAGTGCGCGCTCGCGTGTGTGTGTGTGTGAGTGTGGGAGGCTGCGCTGCAATGGCGGCGGCGTCCCCCATGTAGAGAACCCTAAGCCCGTACATATGTAGAATTGAGCGTATGTATGTAAAAATACATAATTTGGTATGTAAAATACTAGTGCAGGTAAGTTGCATGCGATTTTTGAATAATTTTCTTAAAAATCATTATATTTTATTTAAATAATTGTAAAAAAAAACTATATATTTTAAATTAAAATAATATTTCATATAACCATGGTATATAATTGCCCTCTTTGGCCCAAAAAAAAACTGACATTCCTTTGTGGTATATAGTGGGTGGGGCAGGTCCAGATAACCTCAAGATTACCTTGATTTATTTCCCCCGATCGATCATATATTTTATCGATAATTCGTGGGCAAAGGAAGCCAATCTTAATCAATTTTCACGCCCCATTTTTTTTCTATTTTTTTTGGATTAGCATCTAAAAATTAAGCTTGTTAAAACTAAGTAATAATATTTAAGTGAATTAAACTATTTTAATTAAAAATACATCAACCTCAAGGCAATGACATCCATCCATCAAGTAGAGAACGTGCTAAGCTTCAAGTAAACCCCATTCTCAGATAGTTATAGATATCCCCCCCGAATGCCAGAGAGTCTGGGGGTCTCTGGTGGAGACCATTACCATTCAAAGGGCATCCACTTGATGGAATTGAGTTCTAAGCCTCGAAGATACAGCGCCATATATAGTACATCCGGCAAACTCATTATGAGTTGGAACTTCGAGTGCGCCAACAAGCCTTTACAATAAATCACTTGAAAAGGTATATGTGAAATCAATGTAAAGCACTTCAGTCTATCAAGTGTCCGGAGCATGAAAATTGACGTACATTTTGATATATGAGGGCGGGAGCTGCTTCAGCTTCTGACGACGACGACTGGCTTGGTCTGATTTGGTTGGTTGGTTGGTTGGATGGTTGTTTGGTTTTTGGTTCGTTTTGTTAGTAGAGCAGTCGATTGATCGATGTGCACAGCCATAGTTTCTATTATGTAGACCACAGACAGACACCCGGACAAACGGACAGATAGTAGATCTAGTTGTGTTTTCTATTTTTTTTGTTTAGAAATATATAGCTCAAGTGGTTTGGATTTTTGTTTTTCGCCTTGTGTCGTTCATTGTGAAACTTTCCAAAGTGCATTCTGCATTCTGAAGTATCTCGGCTGGCCACAAGTGTCCGCTGTTCGCTGTTCGCGGACATGACAAATGACAAACAGCACACTTGTTACACGCTCTCAGATACAGATACAGATACAGATACAGGTGGTAGAGATACAAACCGACAACTTTGAAATGCACTTGAGGGTATTGAGAAACTCAAGAACAAGAACATGTTTCTAAACTAATTTCCCTGTTCTGTAAAGACATTTTTTTCGCTAATGAGTCAAGGACGAATACTAAAGAAGCTCTTAAGAACCATCTTCAAAAAGGTATTTTTATCATTTTATTGATCTCCAGTGCTTCCACTTCCATTACAAGTGACGGAAGATGTCCGGAAAGAATGGATCAAGCAGAGAGGGCTTTTAGACAAGGCCAGAAATAGTTAGTATTGGGAGGGGGCGGTCGATCGACTAGTCCCCGGGACTAAAGATAATGGCATATAAACAAAAATGTATCGGGCCAACCAACAAGTGGGTGCGACAGGGACGAATAATGGACGGTAATGGATGGTACGCCCCCTCTGGGTGGCATGAATGTGTACAGGTATGGGGCACAGGTATGGGTAGTAATCGTAGTAGTGCTACCCGATAACAGACCAAAACGGTAGCCCTCTCCGGTATCTCCGATAAGAATCGTAACTGGGTCCGAATGGTAGCAACAAAACATGCAGCCAACAACATTAAAGAGCCCACAAGGAATTCAAATCGGTTTGATTAGCCATAGCATACAGCATATATATAGCATATAAACAGCATATCAGGGGGTTGCTCTGCGGAGTAGCTCCTACTACAGCAGTTCGAATGTAGGTTGTGTGTCCCGTGTATATTATCACAACTGTCCATATCTTTGGCTGATATCTCGGGCCCTCTCGACCCATGTGCAAACAAAAAAAAATAAAATAAAAATAAAAAAAAAAGGGGGGCGAGTAAAAAACCAGAAACGGGAGTTTTATGACCCAACTCTTAACTCCCAACTACCGATTCCGATCGAGCAGTGCGATATTGTTTGTCAATAAACATACGCGCCACATAATCACCCATCATAATAATAATAATATCGTTGGCCAGTTGTTGTTATTATTAGGATTTTATGATCCTTGGCTTGGAGGGCAGCTTAATGCCAAAAGAGTCTTGCTCACCTTGGTCTGATGGTGAGATCTGTACTGGACGGTACTACTGAAGTGGTCGCATTACCCCAGGAGCCCATTAAGATATTTATCGATGATCGCGGCAATCGGGGGCACTTAACGCAAAGTTGTAGACTTGGATTTCACATGGAGCTGATGGATTGCCCGGTTCCGAGATGTCTTTCAAGGAAAGTGGCTTCTTTTTAGAAGATAGAGATCTAAGGGCTTAAGGAAGTTAATCTAAATAGTCTTGGGGCTATAAAGAGAAGGTGTAAGGTAGTTTATGCATAATCGGGGTCACCTTTATGGAGTGGTGACCCCGACAAGGGCTTACAAAGTGAGCGAACTGTCTTTGCAGAATGTGCCAAACTATAAACCAAGGATTTAGACCAACTTTAGTCCTGATCGCGGTCACCATTTGTGGTGGTGACCCCGACATACATACAGGAGCCTCCTAAGAGTCCTACCTTTTAGATCCATCTGCCCCACTGTGCCTCAAAACAAATACCCATAAGCGAAAAGCCCGATTTGGGGCGTTGCGAGCATAGTATCTCAGTATGGTCTCCTATATCTCCCCGAATCAGTGTGTATATATATACATACATACATATATTCATGGCTCGGGGCGATAACTGCATGGAAAAGCAACAACAACATAGAAACTCCCTGAACGAGTCGGGATGGGACTTACACCAATATGTTGTATGACTTTATCGATATTCTTGTGTACACTTATTGATATTTGTTTAACTCGGTTGCCCCGGTCCGATCCGGTCCGGCCAGGCTGACTGACTGACTTTTTCGACTTTGGGGCTGCTCTGCTTTGTTTAATACCTATTTGACGTTAATAAGTGATTGTTGTACAGACTTGCAGTCGGATCATTAAAGAATTAATAATATTAGTTGGTTACTAAGATATACCAACTAATTTAAAGTTAAAGCAGTTAAAAAAAAAAAAAGCTCAAATAACCGAGACAACGATCGACGCCGACGATTGCCAATATGTGTATGGTGGCGGTGGGGTGTTGGAGTTAGTGAGTGAGTGAGAGGGCTTTTTGGGGCCAGCCAGGTAGATAGTGCGCACTCGCTCTCCGGGCCGGACGGACGGAGGGACAGATGGCTTTTAGCCCCCATTTGGACGTTTTTATGGCTTATTGAAATCGAACAGCGGCAGTCAAAAAGCGCGCGCTACGCTTGCCACTACCACCGAGATCCAACCAAACGATCCACATTTCTTTTAAATATTTTCCATTAAAATCTTAAACTTTGGAAAATGTAGTCAGTGCAAAAATATATAGTTACAAAAAAAAAATAAATAAATAATTCCGTCGGATACTAATTGCTGTTCATACAAATTATAAAGTGATCGCGCATTAAAAACCAATTGGTGTGCAAATAATTCCTTCAACAAACAAATCAAGTTCATTAAATACAAAAAAAAAATAATAATAATCAAAGAAAATTCATTAAATGTGAAACCCGCGAACCCGCGAATTTTCTTTTCTGTTCTGTTCTGTTTTTTTTTTTTTTGCCCGATTTTCCGCACGCGAGAGCCTCCTCCCCGCCCCCTTTAGAACCGGAATAATTATGAGCAATTATAATCCGAATTGCGGTTACTTCGAGGATTGCAGCTATTACACGAACAACGTGTACAGCCAACAGGATTATTGCATGCAGCCGGATTACGAGTACAACAAGCATGTCTACGAGTAAGTAAGCCACCAAAATTAATATCATAGATTTAAGAACCGACGGCAATGCCGAGGAAAACTCTACCATAAAGGGGGGTATACTACCAACTAACCCAATAATAAAAAAAACCTATCTTGATCCGAAGTATAATCTTGCAGAATTCCTGAAGAGGAAACAGCTTTCTATATCGAGAGTTTATGACGTCTATCTACGTCATTGGATTTTGTTAGACGTAACAATTAATGGAAGTTTTTTTTTAGAGATTCGAAAAGTATTAAATTTTCCACCACCCAACCAGATCACTCAATAAAAGCAAGTAACATTCATTCATTAAAGCTCTTATCGGGCAATAGATCAAAGAGCGATATTTTTGGGGGGGCCTTAAGCTGCCAATCTTTCATTCACAATCATCAGAAGTCAATGGTGGCATGAGTTGGCAGATATAGAATATCAAAAGTTGGGTAAAAAGGGTCTCTATAAAGCGGTTATATATAAAAAAATATATTAGTCAAGTTTGGATATAGATATTATGTCTTATATGACGATATCTATGCTTCTTTTATCTTCAAAATTGTGTTATAACCTCGTTATAAAGATTATTAAAGTCTTAAGACTATATATATGTATTTACTTGTATAGTTCTCTAGAGTACCTATATATACATATACCTTATGCCTTATATGATATATCTGAAGAGATGAGATAGATATTTCAAAATATTATTCAAGTTAGGAAATAGAGTTAATATCTTATATGATATATCTCAAGAGATCCTGACTTTGTTGATCTATAAAATGGTCTTATAACCTCTCTATAAACTTTATTAAGGTCTTAAAACTATATTTATTCAAGAACTTGCATAGTTCTCTATAGTATCTCTATATATATACCTTAAAAGGCAAGTATCTTATAGGGAATATATACCTTATATAGTAATATATATTTCCAAAGTATTAGTCAAGTTAGGAAATAGAGTTTATATCTCATATGATATATCTCAAGAGAAATGGTATTATAATCTCATTATAAACTTTATTAAGGTCCTAAAAAAATATATATTTAAGAACTTGTATAGTTCTCTATAGTATATACCCTATAAGGTTGGAATATATATCATATTATATATATTTGAAAATAGAGTTTATATCTTAAACGATTTATCTCAATAGATCCTGACTTTGTTGATCTACAAAATGGTCTTATAACCTTTTTATAAACTTTATTAAAATCTAAAGACTATATATATTAATAAACTTATATAGTTCCCTATAGTACCATATCTCTATAGTATAAACCCTATAAGGCAGGTGTCCCTTACAAAACCCACAAGCCACCTGCAACCTCTAAGTGTGTATATTTTTGTGTGGAATGATGTGTCAAAATATTTCCTAGAAATCGATGAGGCAATTAAAAACAATTTGATTTAAAATCAGCTAAGAAAACATAGAAACCGGTCTAAGAAAATATCGGTACGAATATACATATATCCCCTTAAAGCCGAAGGAAGGTGCAGGATTAACATTAAATGGCATAATATAATGAAAATTCTATTTGGCGGCTACCGAACCGGATCGAAATGGGAAATATATATAAAGGAGATAAGACCCCTGATTTTCGCACACTTCTAAGCCAATGTTACGGCATTGTGAGTGTGTGATGGATTCGTTCGTCCTGGACTGACTGCAGCGACGGCAGTCCTGGCGAGTCCTGGCCATAAGCCGAGACCGACAACGAAAAAAAAAAGGTGTCAGAAGCAACAATGTGCGTATTATTTTCGTCCACCACGACGACGATGGGATTTTTCTGAAAAACCAAAACACATGTTTAGTGAAATCGTTTGGAAAATCACACATGCGAACTGGGAAACTGAGGAACTGAGAGAAAGGTGAAAGGCAGTGAAAGGTAGTGAGAAAGAGAAGGCTGCTTGTAGCTCCTACTCATTTAATTGGGTTTGCCCATAATCGTTGCATCGAACCCTCGGATTATCCAGGATAATACTGTTTGCCAAATAAAACCAATTCCATTTTATTTGCGCTTTATGTCATGTTCTTGGTTAGATTTTCTCTTTCTATATATATATATATATATATGGTATGGTAGTTCATTCATTGATGGATCGATCCTTTACTTCACTCCCTCTGCCCATATGGCAGCAGCAGGCAGGTCTCGGGGAATACCCGAAGTGGTAAGGACTTGAAGGACACGCTACACTTGTCTCCTCAGAGAGCCCGGCCCTGAAATATGAAGTTCGAAAAAATAATTTCATTTCAATGCTAAAGGAACGCAGTCACTCAAGTTGAACGTACTCCAAATTCTTTATATATATAAATATTTATGTATAAAAAAAAAAAACTAAAAGATGTTACCAAAAAAAAAAAAAAACAGCCTGGGAATGTGTGCACATGTCTCTGAAGTCGATGAGCCAGGAAGTAAACAAAAGCCCAAAAAAAAAAACAACAAACCCGCAGGAAAAAAAATGTTAGTAAGAATTAAGGTTCAACTTAACCGAATTAGCCATTACCCTTTTTTAATAAAAATTAATAAATTATATATAGTTTTTTATTAGAAATCTTTCTTATAAAGTTTCCTTGGCTCTTATTTTTTTTTTTTTAATTTTTATAGGGCATTTGTCAAGTCGTTTATTTTTTGGAGATTCCTTCAAATGCGTTCAATTTGCGACCCTCACTTTGCGATAATTTGTGTTTATGTTTCTTTAGCTTTTTTTCGATTTGTGTCCCTCAAATATTAATGTCAAGTCCTGACTGAAAGAAACAGGGTTGTCAAGACTTAAAAGAGATTTAAAAAAAAAAAGAAAATAAACTAAAATTAATTAAAGAAAATTAGATCTAAATATTAACTATATTAAATATATCAAAAAACCTTAAAATGTTTTTTCTTTAACCCTTATTTTAATTTAATAAATTCCCTTGTCTACTTAACAACTCTGGCGGAATAGATTTCATGTTCCTGTTCAGGAAACTGTCACCCGCCAAATAAAAGGAAAGTTTTTCACCTTTCTGCCATTTCTCCCATTTTTTTTTTTTTTTTTTGGCTTAAACGGTGCTGTCAAAGCGACGGGCACTTGCCAACTATTAAAGGATGGGCCCCCCCTAGAAAGTAAGGGGGGAGTGCCATGTCAAAAAAAAAAGGATGGCCAGAAATTGATACATTTTTCAGAATTTCTGTTGCAGTTGTAGTTTTTTGTTGGCGAGACGCGTGACTTTGTGACATTTAATGCCAGTTTGTCAGCCAGTTTTGTTTTCTTGAAAAAAAAATTAAAAATAATATAAAAAAAATGCATTGCATGCAGGGATATATATATATATATATACCTTCCAAGGGGATGCCCGCGGATGCGAATGTGAAAATAATACAATAAAATTTACATCCAAGACAGCTCCTCAGCCCTTTTTCTTTCAAAGGGGTTCTGAATATTTGGAATATATTTTTTTGATGGGCCTATAATTGAAGCATGTGATTGCCTGAAGTGTCACGGACAAGAGGGAAATAAATATAAAAAAGGAGGGCAGCAAAACCCCCTAGAATTTATATCTAAAATATATAGATAAATCTAGATACCCACAACTGGGCAATGGTAAGGTGTATATATGTTTCGGAAAATCATCAAATGGAATGAAATTAGGAAAGAAAACAATGCCAACCGAACAAAGCCCATTACCCATGCTGGGCCGGTCATTCATTCACAAAAAAATATTGCCAATTGATGCTGAAAATTGTCCTGGCATTTGGTATAAATTGCAAATGTATCTCTCGGTGTCTCGGTGCTGGTGTCCAGCTGTGAAGGAGGAAGTGAGGAAGTGAGCCCCGAGACCAGAGAGGAAGTTTCAAAAAAAGAAAAACCCAGTGGGACATGATGTAGAAAACCGAGCAGGAAAGACCCGGAAAAAAATAGAAGAAGAAGTCGGAAAACCCATTTGTCAAGTTATGGGCGCTACTCATACAGATTCCTCTGCCCAGCTGCCCAAAAGAGATACAGATACAAATACCTATACTGAGATACAGATACACAGATAGAATGGCGGGATGCTAGCTGGTTCTTTCATCCTTTTGAAATGATTTTTATTTTCATTTTGAATGAGGCCGTGAATGGTCCAACCTCTTCTCTGAAGAGACTCAGAAATCGGGGAGGAAGTACTGGAAAATTGAGGGGGGGAGGGGGCTGGAAAAAAGGGAGGTACGAAAGTAGGAAGTAATTAATCTGGGTTTTATAATTAAATTAAGCTCAAAAATAATTAATTTTGTTTAATTAACTAGAGGGGAGAGAGTCAAGAAAAGGATAAAGTCTAAAAAATTATAAAAACTCCTTAAAAATCTTTAAAAAAGGCCTAACTAAAACAAACAATTTTAAACTTAAATCAAGACTTGAAAACCTCGAAAGTATATATTTTATTAAGCAGAAACCCCCTACTTAAGACCCTTATACCCTAAAGATATAAATTTTCGATCCTCTTCAGTTTCCCAATCTGATCACTTTCCTTTTAATTAATAATACTCTAATCTGACTTAAGCCACTGATGGATTGCTTTTTGCCACCGAAGGCATTGACTTTTAAATGCAAATCTTCTTCCCGATCTCGTCCTTCTTCGATCTCGTGTCACCCCAAAAACCCAGGGAATGGAATACCAGCTGTGTTTGTCAATCTTTAAGATCCTTTTTCGGTTACGGCCACGCCTCTTTGTAGCTCTCTTACATCATCCTTGCGAACAGAACAAATAAAATTTGCTGAAAATCAATAATGTATCTACAAGATCACGCCAGAAAACAACTGACCAGAGGGCAACTGATCAAAGAATAGAGGGCTATAGTATATATGATGTATATTGTATAATAAGTGAACAAGGCATTTCCGCCGGGTTTTTCACCTTTTCTTTTTTGTATTTTGTTGGAAAATCACTTCCGCGCATCGAATCAAAGACCCAAAATTGTCATGGCCATCAATTGAAAACACAAGCGAGCCAAAGATTCAATAAAAACACTGAGAGAAATGGGGGTTTTT